AAAATGTGGCATTCAATAAAATGCTTATATTCCAGTATAAGTTAAAACAGCAGGTATGTATTTTAATTGTTTATAATGACGTTGAATTGCTTGAAAGAATGAAAGCATTTTACAAGAACAAAGGGTGTGAGTTTCTATATTTGTAACATTTTACTTTTAAAGTACATTTTCTACTGTTCTCTACAAACTATGACTTAAGTGACTTTCCTTAATTTGTTGAAATTCCTATAAAATAATGACTTCTCTACCTTTTCCTTTTCATTTTAGGAAAGTTACTACCAGGCTGGGGTGTACCTCAGTGGTACTTGCCTAGCATGCAGAAAACCACATGGTCAGTCTCTAGTACTGCTCAAACTGCTGACTGTTAGGAACGTTGTGTGGGAATTCACCTTGGTATAATGGTAGCTTCCAAGGTTACTGACAGGAAAGGCATCCCAGAGGCTAGTGAACACAACATGCACAGGTTCTGCTTTCCGCCACACTAGCCTGATTGTGTTGTTAGGGACCAGAACTCAGCCAGGGAATTTGGCAGACACCAGTGCATTTACCTTGAGCCCAGCCACCTGGTACCTGTAGCTCTCAAATAGCCTGTTGAGAACTGGTGGGCATTGTCTATGTTTCTTGGGCAGCACACATGCAGGACCAGAGTGAAACTATAATAATTATAACAAGAATGGCCCGTTGTTTAGGGAAGACGTAGCCTTCATCATGAAAGAAACGTGACTTAACATCTTGTGAATATGTAATATTTACATGACCTCCCTTTTCCACCTGTAAGTAGCACTCTCGTTATTTTTTTCTGCCCCTTCCCCAAACCCTACAGTTTTTGGGATCAGACCTAGCGCTTTCCACATAGCAGGTCAGCACTCTACTACAGAGCTCTGCCTCTAGCCCTGTGCTGCCCTTTGTCTCCTGTTCCAGCACTGGGGCAGAGCTCAGCCTCTCACATGTACTAGTACTCTGTCACTAAGCTGCCTCCCGAGACCTGTCTGTTGGTCTAGCTTTCCTTCCTCCCTCCCTCCCTCCCTCCCTTTCTTTCTTTCTTCTCTTCCTCCTTCCCTCCCTCCCTTCCTTCCCTTTCTTTCTTCCTTTCCTCCCTCCCTTCTTCATCCCTCTCTCTTTTCTTCATCCCTCCCTCCTTTCCTCCATTCCTTCCTTCCCTCCCTCTCTCCTTTCCTCCCTCCCTTTTTTCTCTCCCTCTCTCCCTCTCTCCCTCTCTCCCTTCCTTCCTCCATTCCTCCTTTCTCTCTCTCTTTCTCTCTCTCTCTCTCTCTCTCTCTCTCTCTCTCTCTCTCTCTCTCTCTCTCTCTCTCTCTCTCTTTCTGACAGGGTCTCATGGAGCCCAAACTGACCTCAAACTCATTTTGAAGCCAAAGGTAACCTTGAATTATTGATGCTCCTGCCACCACCTTCTCAGTACTGGGATTACAAGATTGTGTCATCACAGCCAGTGTGTGATGTTGTTTTGAACGCCCATCCTGTTCAACATGTATGTTTCATGTATCCGTGTTTAACATGCCTCGTTCACTAACCACTGAAAATACTTCTTGTATTATCTATTTTCCCTTTAACTTGATAAAGGAGGGACAGACAACTATCTGCACTGCTGCAGGGCTCCCTGCCTGCCTGCCTGTGTTGTTTTAAAGATTCTGCTCCTGCTTTGAAGGACATCTCCAAGCTCTGGTTCCAGAACTCCTGAATTTGGGGCTAAGGAGATAGTTTAGTTGGTATAGTGCTGCTGCACAAACTGAAAACCCGAGTTTCACTCTCCAGGACTCATGTAAAAAGCTGGGTGTGACAGCACATGTTTATAACCTCAGTGCTGGGAAGTGGAGACAGGAGGATTCCTAGGGCTCACTGGTCAGCCTAGCCTAGTTAGCAAACCCCAGGTCCCAGCAAGAGACCCTGTTTGAAAAAACAAGGTTGATGGCACATCAGGAACAACACCCAAGGTTGGCCTCATCCTCTACACATATGTCATATGCACACACAGGGGTGGGGTGGGTTCTGAACACATGACCTCTGCATTGGCCAATACTTCATTTGAATTTACTTGCTCTTTCTGAATCTTTAGATCTCTCTTTGGTTCTTATTCCATCCACCCTGCCCACCCACAACTAGCCGGAGAATACTAGCTTCCTCTTTTTCCAGATCTCATGGTCTTAGCTGGCTATGCCAAGCTCCACTCTTTTGTTTCCCACTCTGGAATCATACTCTGAGAAAGTACCCTTCTTCTCACTCTTTTGCTGAGGTTAAGCAGGTAACATTAAAATCAGAAGGTGAGGCGTTCCTAGGAGCTCCTATGTCCTAAGGCGTAACATGTGGCTCCGAAGCTGGGTACCATAATCTTTCTCTGCAGGAAGCACTGCTGACTTTCTGCTCTGGAACTTTCCAGTAAGAGTAGAGGAGAGTTTTCTTAGTGTCTGCTTTCTGCCATCTTGTTCTCTGCTTTGGAAAGGAACATAACTGTATATAACAGTGCAGACAACCCTACTTGGCACCCTGTTTCCCTGGACCTGCCCATTCCATGACAGCTCCCAGTTTCCTCTCTGGCAATTCCAGACTTATGCAGAAGTGATGGCACATAACTGAGATGCTCTTTCCTTCCCATGAAGCAACATATTCCCGAGCAAGGGTCTGGGAGCCACTTCTCACATGAAGGGACATGCTTTCCAATTCATTTTAGGTTTCTTGGTTTCCCTATTTGTGAGAGGCTGAACATGAACACCAATTAAGCAACTGTTCTTCCAAAATTGATCATCAACCCCTCATTATAGGATGGCCATACAATTGTCTTGCAGTCTAGGGCCTGCATGCCCACCAACTGGAATCTAAGCCTAAGCACCCAAGTATTTACTCTGATTCTAGAAAATACCCTATAATTGTTTAGTGAAAACACTCCTACAAAACAAACAAACAAACAGGAATGCATAACAATATCCAGGACCAGCAATGTGCCCTTCCCTTTTCCAGTTTGACAGATCTGGAGGTCTGCCTATGTCTAGACAGTGGGACACAGTGGTCACCTTCACTACAGGGTTCTGTATTACACCTCAACTACCCCTCCATGGAGGCTGGTTACCCTTGCTTGGAACTAGAAAGCACTCAGGGGATCCTTACCTTGCAATCTGTGTTTATTGAAAGTTGATCCTGGCACACCCTCTACATTGCTGAAATGAGGGTTGCTTATGATAAGGACAGTGTTTGTGCCTGCCAGCAAAATACAGAAACTTAACCCTTGAGCTGTGCAGCAGTCACAACACAGTCAGGAAGTCTGTGTCTTTCAAGGGCTTTGAGTTTAACTATCCTCTATTTACTGTATAATCAAAACTACAGAACAGGTGCTCTATCCACAGAGGCTGAGAATGAAGGGAGAAAAATCCTTGTATAGAACATGCCTTTTTTTTTCTGCCAGAACTCATTTTCTGATCGTTGCTTCATTTCCATGGCTCTCCAAAGTGGCTCCTCCCTGTCCTCTGTTGTATCATGAGGCTTCTAAGAATACCTTCTGGCTGTTGTCTGTCTTAATGCCTAGCCAGGATCCACCTGAATTTTTAGTCATTTGGATCTTTACTTTCTTATGCTCGATATTCTGGTTTCTTGTAGGATACAACAAAGAAGGCTTCCTGGCAATACAGCATGCAGTAGACAAAGCCATTATGTGGCACCATGATCCCAACGCAACACTCACCATGTTCAAGAATCTCCACGTACTGCTGCAGAGATTCCCATTTGGGCCCCATATCAAGGACCCATTCTTAGTGATCCTTCAAAATGAGTTCCCTCTGCTCCTCATGCTCAGCTTCATTTGTGTTGAGCTCATAATCATCAATTCCATTTTACTGGAGAAGGAGAAGAAACTGAAGGTAGCTCTATCTACTCAGATGGGAAGTACAGGGCTGTGGGGAGGCTGCTAATGAAATGTCTACTGTGAGACTGAGGCCCAAGCAGGCAGGAGGATTTGTCAGCCTCTCAGGTGAAATGGAAATCAGAAGTGCTTTCATATTTTTATCCCGCTTGCAGGAAGCCCTATCTCTTGTTATCACACATATCCCTACTTTTAGATTGCCCAGCCTAGTAGGTCCTCCAGGTTTGTACTCCGTCACTAATAGGGCAGGTGTTCAGACAATGTCCACATAGAGGGGATTTCTATCCACAATCAACTCACTCCCATTTTGTGGGAAGATGATTGAGAAGCATCTTCTAGGAAAATATAACCGAAGGCAAGGTTTGTTTCCTCTGAGTTGGTCCCGAAACTGGTTTCACTACTCACTTTCTGTGCTCTTCTGTTTGTGTAACCTCTACTACTTCTTTTCTCACTTCTTCCCTCTAAATAATAATCTTGTATTACTTAGGTTTTTATTTCTCAGACATGATCTCATTCTGTAGCCAATAGTGACCTGGAAGCCACTGTGTTATCCAGGCTGACCATGAACTCATGATCTATTTGCTTCACCCCACCCCCCACCCCCAGTGCTAGAGGCACAACTGGCTAAAATCTTCTCACTTTAAATTTTTTTTCTCTTTTTAAAATAAATTTTAAATTTATGTATTTTATGTATAGGATGTTTTCATCTGCACGTACATCTGCACACCAGAGGGCACTGGATCCCATGGGACTACAGTTAGAGATGGTTGTGAGTCATGGTATGGGTGCTGGGAATTAATGGAGATGATGTTACCCACAGTGTGGGTGCTGGGAATTGATAGAGATGATGAGGCTGTCTATGGGATGGGAGACAGTGGGTCAATGGCTGACAGGTGGATGCTCTATCCAGCTTTATACTCACTGAAAACCCCAGGAAACAAGGAGCTTCTGACACTGGCTTGGGTACCCATTTAGTTTCTGCTGTGGATGAAATTCCACCTTCCTTAGTTTGTACTTCAACAGCAAACTTGTATAGAAGCTGGTGGGCATAGAATGTCTACACTTTGGTCATGTTTTTGTTCTTTATACTTGAGTCTTGTTTTCAGATGAATTTAACACTGTAGAAGTTAGGCATGATGGCACATTCTTAAAACCCCAATGGTAAATATGCTGTTGGTTCATTTACTAAATGTCTCCTCTAAGTAAATGGCCCTGAGCAAAAAGTCTAAACTATTTTTTTTAGACAAAGTCTTAATATAGAACCCCTGGCTGGCCTGGCACATGCTCTGTAGACTAGACTGGCCTTGTGCTTCTGACAAATTTTACTGCTTCTGTCTCGCAAATGCCGGGATTGGAGGCATGGACTACTATACTCTGCTTTAACGTCTAAACTCCTTGTGTGTCCTACTTTTAAATTCTCCTAGCAGTTGTTTTTAATTTAAAGTCAGTTTATACAATGCCTACACTGCCATAGTTAAACCAAGTACCACTCCGTTTTATTCTTGCCTTCTAGCTCTGTCCCTCTCCATCAGCCCCAGCAGCTGTCTCTCCCCAGTCCACACAACCTGTCATCCTAACCCGCTGAGTTTCAGCAACAGCCTCCCCGACTGTGCCTGAGACACTTAGCCAGGCTCTAACACTTGGCTCTTTTGCTTTTTCTAGGAATATATGTGTATGATGGGACTGGAGAGCTGGCTGCACTGGGTTGCTTGGTTCATTACATTCTTCATTTCTGTCTTAATTGTCGTTTCTGTTATGACCATTCTCTTTTGTGCAAAGGTATGCTTTGTTCTTTAGAATATAGTAAGCTATGAACGGGTAGTAAAGAATCTGGTATGGTATGGGTGGTACAGTTATTGATGACCATTTGGGAAAACTCTGATGGATATTCAGTGGTATTTGCTGAAATTCTGGGGAAGTAAACATTCTTCCTCCTCTTCTCCCCCCCCCCACCTTTTTTCTCTTTCTTTTTGAGGCAGAGGCTCATTATGGAGCTCTGGCTGGCCTAGAATTCACTGTATAGACCAGTCTGATCTGGTTTAATTTGTGTTAATCCTCAACCTTATCCCTAAAGTGCTAGGATTTCAGTCTTGTGCTATCATACCTAATCTAGTATTTAGAAACCTGAGGATCACAAAATACATTTTTACAAACTTTAAAAGACAGGGCTGGAGAGGTGGCTCAGTGGTTAAGAGCACTGGCTGCTCTTCCAGAGGACCCAAGTTCAATTCCCAGCACCCACATGGTGGCTCACAACTGTCTGTAATTCCAGGTCCAAGGGACCAAACATCCATGGTAAAACATCAATGCACATAAAGTAAAAATAAATTAATTAAAAAGAAAAAAATAAATTTCATACTGCACAATAGTTGAAAATAGTTACTATAAAACATTATTTTACTTCCATGTTATCATGTTTTTCTTTTATGCTGCCAATGGGGTTTGATATTAACTTTGGTCTGCTTGCATTTAATAACTCACTACTTGGATATATAAAAACTTACCTTTTAAGTTGTTAGTATTGTGTCAGTGTGGTAAAAGGAAGAAAGAAAACCCAGGCTAAATAGGAAAATAGTTCAAGCAAAAGAAATAACCAGAAAGCATTAAAACAGAAGGCACAAGATAACAAAAGAAATACCAAATGTACGTCAGACTGATAATGTGACAAATGAACTGAACTTGTGCAGGGGGTGTAGCTCATTGACAGAACACATGCCATGTATTTAAGGCCCTTAATTCAATACCCAAGATAACCGCCCCCCCAAAAAAAGAAAAAAATTGTCCACATTAGGTAAAAAATTGAATGCAAACTTATTTTTCCCCTGAAAAATACTCATAGCATAACTTATAAATGATAACAGATGGCAGATCAGATGTCTGCCTTAAAAAATCTATGTATAATTCTAAATTAAAAAATATTTTCTATAGTGTTTTATGGGTACTTCATACTTTGTTCACATCTGTGGTTGTTTTATAGGTAGACAGTGTGGCTGTGTTCACCAACAGTAATCCTAGCTTGATATTTATTTTTCTAATGTGTTTTGCCACTGCCACAATTTTCTTTGCATTCATGATGAGCACGTTTTTTCAAAGAGGTGAGTACTGCTGTTATTTTCTGTTAGGGGATGTTAATGACTTTTCCTTCTAAGAGCATTGTCATTCCCATTACTTAGAGAATTTAGTATATTCCTCCACAGCTAAGTTTCCAGTCTTATGGTTATTTCAGTAGTGGGAAAATTCTACTCCCTATTAAAGGCTTGTTGAAACACATGAAATATACATTCTTTGCTATATTTAAGTCCTTAAAACAGTGTCAAAGTGAGGTAGATAATAAGTCTCAGTTTATTTATTTTTTAATTATGTTTCTCACTGTGTGTATGCAATGTGTGTGCTGGTGCTCTGGAGGCCAGAAGAGACCCTTGGATCCCATGAAGCTGAAGTTACAGGCAGTTGTGAGCCACCTGATGTGGGTGCTGGGAACCAAATTCAGGTCCTCCAGAAGAGCAGCATCCACTCCTAACTCCTGGGCCATCTTTCCAGCCCCAACAAGGCTCAGTTTAGAAGAAAATAGAAGGGTAAGACATTTCAGGCAGAAAGTCCTCCAGATCATGATTGTGAAGTTGGGACCCAATAATAAAGTGGTTTCTAAGATACCACAAAGGACTTCCTGTGAATTTGGTCCTGTTGGAAGTCTTAGATCTAAAACTATTTACACATGAATTGATGAATCATAGAGAATAGAAATGATAGGAGGTACAGTCAAATCAGAGCACAGGAGCATTGAAGTATGAGTTACCCTATAAAAGTAAAAACAGTTAGAGAAAATGAGCTCAGCAGTTGTCCCCCGAAAAGACAGTGTTTACAAGAACCAGGAAAGAGAGATGTGTTATTACTATTTGAGAATGTTTTATATCAAATGGCATGCTCTAATTTGTGGTTCCTAGAAAAATACTGACCCTGCCAAGATGGAGAAGGATTCAAACTTTGAATTCTACCTCTCCTCCATAGCTTTTGCCTCTGCCTCCCAAGTGCTGGAGTTAAAGGCATGCACCACCACACCCAGCTACTTGAATGTTTTCATCCTTCACTAGTAAGAATGAAAATACAAAAACAGATTGCTTCCTTTCTGAAATGCTGAAACAATCACAGAGATGTTTTCCTTCATGGCAGAGAAACAAGGTTTGTATCATAGCAACTTGCATGTTACTGATGAAACACTTCATCTTTTCCCCTCTGAATCTGCAGCGCATGTAGGAACTGTGATAGGTGGAATCGTCTTCTTTTTCACATACCTTCCCTACATATACATCACTTTCAGTTATCACCAGAGGACCTATGTCCAAAAGATAGCCTCTTGCCTCTTCTCAAATGTTGCCATGGCAATAGGAGTCCGATTCATCTCTCTGTTTGAAGCAGAAGGTAAGATTTATCTTTCTCAGACTCTTATTTAGGCTGCCTACATGCTCTGAGCTGGGCGTGGCTGTCCTCCATTCCCAAACTTACATTACTGACATTAGTGTTCTGAGCATCACATTATGATAGGCACTTTTTGGGATGCTAAAGAGATATATAATGTGCTTCACAAATCCTACAGCATAAGCCACCGGGTGGTGGTGTCACATGTCTTTAATCCCAACACGTGGGAGTTTGAGGCCAGCCTGTCCCGTGACTTCCAGGATAGTCCTGCCTTAAAAACAAAAACAAAAACAAACGAACAAAAAACCATACAGCACAGCCATGGATATGCGAAGGGAAACTAGAGCATAGTAAAGAAAGGACACTGAAGACAAACATGCATGCCTGTAGTCCCAGCTACTTGGAAGGTTGAGGCAGGAAGATTACTGGAGCCCAGGAGTTCCATCCAGGCTAACTTGGGCAGCAGAGTAACTTTGCTTAAAAAAAAAAAAAGATTAGTAATTATATACTTATATAATTCTATTGATATGAAGTATAAAATTTTATGATTAGAAGCTCAGAAAATTCTGAACATCACTAAAAATGTAGTAGTTTTCACATACCTTAGTCTCATTGCTTTTGGTGTCCCCTCTTTTGCAAGTTTTTCTGGGGGATTGTATTAATCAGCCTTATCTATTTATAAAGAAATACTTGAAATAATTAACTTGTAAAGAGAAAGACTTATTTTGATTTACAAATCTGTAGAGTCAAAGATTAGGCGGCCTCCCTCTGTTGGACCTCTGGGTGTCCAGCCCTTCATGAGAGACTACACAGCAAAGCAACCTACCAGGGAATGAACAAGGAAACAAAGGAATCCAAGTCTCACATTCTCTTAGAATAATCCCTCAATACTCCCGCCTGCTTAGCCCCACCTCCTGCGATGCCACACCTCCTGAAGTTTCTACCATGCCCAGTAGCATCACCCTGGTGACCAAACCTTTTAACATAGTCTGTTAGTCAACTTTCCATCACTGTAGCAGATACCTGAGATGGTCAGCACTGAAAGATCCCAGCCTTAATTTGCTTTAAAAGTTTTTAAGGTTTCATTCAGCCTGTGGTTTGTTAGTCCACTGGGGGAAAAAAAATATCGACATTGTAGTTAAGATAGACTGGCCCTGGTTTAGCTGGCTTTAGGGAACTTGATCCTCATGCTGAATGACCTTGCCCAGCCTTGATGCAAGGGGAGGAACTCAGTCCTGCCTCAACTTGATGTGCCATGCTGTGTTCAAGCCCATGGGAGGGCTGTCCCTTCTGAATGGAGAAGGAAGGGGAGGGGAGTTAGATGGAAAAGTGTGTGTGTGGGAGTCCGGGAATAGAGGAGGGAGGGGAAACTGTGGTCCATATGTAAAATAAATGAAAAATTGTTATTTAAATAAAATAATATGTATATATATAAATTAAGATACATGAGAAAAAGGAAAAGACATGCTAGAATAAGAGAAGACACGTATGATACATTTAGCTAGCAAGTGGCTTATGTTTAGAATGTTTAAAGAACTCATTCACGTCATTAGAAATTTGCTCTTGTAATTTAAAATAATGAAGCAAAACCACTTGTCACTTTATGGGGAAAGGGATATTCAGAAGGCTAATAAACATATAGGTGCTAGGAATCAAACCTAGGTCCTCTGGAAAAGCAACCAGTGCTCTTAACTGCTGAGCCATCTCTTCAGGCCCATTGCATTTCTTTTTAAAAGATGCTAATAAATCAAAAGTGGAAATAAAATGGAGCCATAAAAGGGCTGTGAGATGGCTTAGTGGTTGAAGCTGCTTCCCTTCCAGCCTGCTGACCAGAGTCTCATCTTCAGAACCTACATGGTAGAAGAAGGAGAGAGCTGACCTCCTTTCCTTTGTCTTCTGACCTCCACACACGTACCATGGTACACATGCACACACATACCACATACATACAAATGAATAAATGGATGAAAAACAGAAATCAAAAAATTCTCCATTAACTGGGCATGGTGACAGTAATTCCAGCTACTAGAGAGGCTGAGTCAGCTCATGGTCAACCTGGGAAACTTAGAGACCTTGTCAATTAAACAAAAAAAGTAAAGGACCGGGAATACAGTTCAGGGGTCCTATGCAAGATCGGAGGCCCAGTTGCTAGTACTATGACAATAGATATCTGAAAAATCTCTGTGATGGTTAGTATTGCTTATAAACTTCATTGGAGCTGGCATCAACTAAGAGACATGTCTATGGATGTATTCATGAGGATGTTTTCTGTGAGGATTAGCTGCAGGAGAAAGGACCTCTAACCCCAGGGTGGGAGCACACTCTAGCAGTGGCCCAAGTTGAAAGACATTCAAGGGAAAATCAATGTCTTCCCATCCTGTTGGAAAGTGAATTGTTGCTGCTGCCATCTTTTATTAACCTCAGAACCCAACTTCATTGCTTTTCCGATGTGGAATGGAGACCAGCACTCCAGGAATCCCCCAGGTACTTATCTCTAGATTAGGACAGCGGAGTCTTGTGGACTGAGCAGACTTTCCAACATGCAGACAGCCACTGTCCTCCTTCCTTGCAACAGGAACAGGCATCCAATGGAGGAACATAGGCAGTATCCAAGGAGACTTTAGCTTCATTCAGGTGGTGCTGATGCTCCTGCTGGACTCACTCTTGTACTGTCTGATAGGCTTTTTGGCGGAGTCTCTCTTCTCAGGAAAGTTTGGAATACCTACGTCTTGGTACTTCTTTGCCAAGGTAAGTTCTGATTCTATTTTAGAGATAAATGTTAAGGGTTTTTTTGTTTGTTTGTTTTGTGGTTTTTGTTTTTTTTCCCCCCAAGACAGAGTTTCTCTGTATAACAGTCTTGGCTGTCCTGGAATTTGACTTGTAGACCAGCCTGGCCTCAAACTCACTGAGATCTGCCTGCCTCTGCCTACCAAGTGCTGGGATTAAAGGCGTGCACCACCACCACCACCACCACCACCTGGCCAGATGTTAAGATTTTTATATTTGTCATCTGTGTTCCTCCATCTCCCAATAATGTACTAACGTCCATGGGAGGCCTTACCCTTTCTGAGGAGTGGATGGGGGGTTGGGTAGAAAGCAGGTGGGGAGAGGGAACAGGAGGAGAGGAGGGGAAACTGGTTGGTATATAAAATAAATTAAAAAATTAAAAAAAAGAAGTCAGGCACTGCTCATAGGCACCCACTACAGCAAGGATTTGGTTATTAATGGAAACTCTCATTTCACATGGTTCTTCTTTCTATTAAAATTGAGTATTTAAATACATTGTAAATATTATACTGGGGAAAAAAAGATCCCAAACCGCAGTAAGTCTTTACCCTGGATTAACCTCCTAACTATCAGCCTATGGTTGGCAGTGGAGCACAATTAACAGAGAATCTCAGTGTCTCTGAAGTTGCCCCACAGCTGATGCAATGGACTTGAGGATGAGACAGGGGGATAACTTCATACAGTGTACCTGGCAGTGCCTTCAGATTCTGTTATGCCTGTGTCATGAGCCCCCCGCCCCCCCAGAGATCACCAGGAGTCTTGAGTTCATATGCAAAAGCAAAGAGCCTTTATTGCAAGCTTGAGCTTGGGCTTCCCATCCATTCCCACACAGCGGTTGGATCAGGGAAGCATTGAGCTCAGTTATGGCAGGGATTTTAAGGCGTAGAGGAAGGAGGGTAGGGAAATTCTGGATTCAGATGGGTGTTGAACTCCTGATTGGGCAGGAGTGAAGTAACAGAAGTCTTGTCAAACAGGGATTGGTACTGGTGTTGCTGCAAGGAAATTGGCAACCTATATACAAGTGATGTAAGCTATCCTTTATGCCTTGGAGCATCTAGTACTTATTTGTCTCAATTCTGATTGGTCTCCCGAAAGGTACAGTTTGTAGCTTTTCCTGGTTATTGTAATGGTGAGGCCTGGTCCCAGTATTGTTAGTCTGCAGCCTGTCATGGCTAGGCCTCTTCATTCCTGTATATGCCTGTTTATACCAGGTCCTTCATTTTCCCACAGAACTCACTCCCCAACATGCTAGAGTTCCCACACACTGTTTCTCCATTGAGCAGCATTTGTAGAGGGCCCTTTGAAATCCTTTGATCACCACAGTGTGCCAATAATAGTATCACAATCCTAGAAATTCACAGACTACATTTTTTGTTACAAATGAGCCTTTTTGTGCTTAACTCAGCCTCTCACAGTAACCTGTGGTGGCCTGCCCAGTGGCCAGGACCTCTGCAGCATGTACTCTGCCTTCCTTCTGGGGATGTGGAGAAACAGGTACGCTGTAACACCAGCAACCTCATCCAGGTCTCACCCCCTCCTTCTCCCCTCCCGAGAACATGGTAAAGCGGCTTTGCTAGGACAGTCAGAGGCCGGAAACAAGGCCACTTCCTTAGAGCTTCTCTTAGTGCTGGAGATTATAGGCTGAAATGTAGTTGAATTGTGAGGAAGCCATCAGTGAGCTGATTAACTTCTCCAGATGCCATGAAATATTTGATTCAACAAGTAACTGCCTGTGGGGCAGGCATGCAATTTGCCAAAATTTACCTTCCATAAGAGAAATCCACACAAACGGTTAGTGTGTAAAGTTGACTTCTCATGCAGTGCCTGTTCTGTGTCAAGAAGCCTGTTCCAGTAATACTGCCACTTCTGGATGTTGGGGATCCTGAGAAACCTGCAAGGAGAGACTTCATGCAGGATGAGCCAGCTGATCAAATGAAAGCAATTGAAATCCAGCATCTATATAAGGTATTGGCTTTCAGACTTCCTTACAGGGGCTTGAGAAACAACCCTTTTAGGACTGTTTTATTCTAACAGTGCTTACAGGCTACTCTTTGGAATCAAGAGTTATAATTTCCTATGTGATCCTACTCTCAAAAATTGGAAACACAGCTTGAAATACCCTGCTTCCCATTATGAAGTTAAATGGAAGGCCTATTGATCTGGGTTTTTTTTTGTATTGTTTTGTTTTGTTTCTTTTTGAAACAGTGCTCTCTCAATCTCCAGGCCAAACATCTCCATTGGAGATAGGCCAGAATGCAGCCATTTGGTGGATGACATATCCACCAAATCAAAATGTAAACCAGATCTCACTGTTAGCTTCTAAATATAGGAACAGGCAGTTGTTCTCCCAGAGGTGCTTGATTTCTGTAACACGGTATAATCTCAGTGCTTACAGTGTCTACAGAGTGTGGTTGTCTGAAATCTCTGGTCTTTGAATCTAAAAGAAAGCGGTGGGACCTTCTCTACTTATTTGGCATTGTCACCTTAAGACTCTAACTCAGCTGGGTGTGGTGGACAAGCCTTTAATCCCAGTGCTTAGTAGGCAGAGGCACATGGGTCTCTATAGGTCTGGGGTCTGCCTGGTCTGCAGAGGGGGTTGTTGGTCAGTCAGGGATGTGTGGTTAAAACTGTCTCAAAACGACAGTTGATTGGCTTGATCAGGTTGGGAGGCATTTAGGCAGTGGGACCAAGTCCTGTGCTCATTCCACGAGTTGGCTGTTTGAAACCAGGAACTTATGCAGGGACACTTGGCTCAGTCTGGGAGGAAGGGACTGGACCTCCCTGGACTGAGTCTACCAAGTCGATCACAGTCCTCGGGGGA